TGTTAAGGCTTACGGGCGGGTTTGTTACTGTAATTGGCAGCCCTTATTTGTCCTTGTTAGACATGGGTTGGGCATTAAAGTCAAAGCCAAAGGCAACTAGATTTCAGCGAAAAGCAAAAGACTTTTCTTGAAAACAATTTTTTACAAGGAGAGAAATCAGGGAAGAAAGAAACTGGGGAAGCGGTAGCAAAATAAATAAGAAAAGCTAAAGATGCAAACAATCAGCGATTGTTTTACATTGGAAGAATTTCTATCCCCACAGCAAATCTCCTCTTACTTTTCTCGCTTTGCAGCAAAACGAAAGCAGCTCGGTGAGTCTGAATATGAAGCCGCAGAAAACGAACATGTTCTGCAAGAAGTTAGAGAAGATATCATGACTTCCTTAGGGCAAGATCTGAATAGCCACAAGCATCCATTGTGTACGAAGAGCTACAATTATGTGAGATGTCGAAAGATGAATTATCTTTGCTACGCATGGCAACGCTTAAACCCAGCCAGCTGTAGAGAGTATGACATGGAAGTTTCAGGAAGGCGAAAGGACCCTTATTTTGAGTGTGTTGTTTCTCTCGTTAACAGCTGTACCTGCAAGGCTTTCAGTTGAACAGTGTAATCTAGTTTAAAATCTTAGAGTTGAGTTTGGTCATGCGCAACAAAACAAATTTGTTATTTAAACAAATTTACACAACATGCTACAACTGATAAGATTACTTCTAGCGCAAAGTCTATATATAAAGCAGTTGAGACTTCCTTTAAAATATAAGTGGTCAGAAGTAGGCACGTCAGTTTTAAAATAATCAGGAAACCACAAAATACTATCTAATATTTGACGATTTGAGCTGGTGTGAAAGACATTCCATATGTGGTCTATCAAAGACTGAGCTCGTTTTTTGTGTTGCCAATCCTGATATAAATGGATTAAGAACGGAACTCAAATGGATAGAATCAAATAAACGAGAAAGGCCTGGCTTTCACAAGATAAGGACACAATGCTTAGTAAATCATAAGCATAAAGGTATTTCAGTCAAAACCGCTGACCAATAATACTCTCGATTTCTGCTCGATGCTCGATCAAAGGACAAAAGAAGTATTGGGTGTAAAAAGTCTGAGTAATTGCGATTCTTCGCTAAAATCTTAAAAGGAAAATGGTTTTCCTTCTTCTGGAGCGAATGGAGATATCTGATGGGGAAATACATTGCAAATCCAAGGGAAAATGTTCGCTTAAATTTGGCTCATATGCATGTCGGCTTGCTGACTGAAGTTCTTTTGCTAAACCTGCTGTTACTTGTGTGAATGTGCTGAAATGGGACAGTTGACAGCCGCTGAAGATAGACAGCAGGAGCAGCCACAAGAAAAGGTGCAGGCATCTGAATTTGTGTTCAAATGATGCGAATGCTTGCAGATCGAACCGACTCCACATGGCAAAGTGGTGAAATGGAGAAAACCATAAAGTAAGCAATATTTTGATCCATATTGTTTAAAAAATAATAGCCAGAAACTATTATTTTGATCAGAACATGACTCAGCAGATAATATTCTTTCATAATGAAGGTAGTTTCAGTTTTTTGACATTTTATTCGCGAGTAGATAGAATGTTAATTTCGCCGAAATATACAAAGACTGATTTTTGAGGTTTGTTCGTTAACTGCCCTTGGAAAAAAGAGAGCCCGCCCCGCAGAGATTTTACAGATATAGTAACTAGAATATCTGTGTAAACTACCTGCTGAGTTTCAGCTCTAGAACCGATGTACTTTTGGAGAAATTAAAGAAAAGGATTAGCTAGTTTTACCCATCTACTCAAATGGCCGAAACTCTATGTAGTTGACTGACCGTTTAGTCTATGTAAATTTAATATTATAAAAAGAAAGATACATAAATGTAAACTAGAATGATAGTTTTATATCTGCTGCAAGTCTTGAGTCGTAGTGTTTTAATGGCCTGGAGAAACAGTAGTTTACATTTTGCACTTTTTACAACAGTTTCTGAGTTAAAAATTAGGTTTTGGGCCACCAACAAACATTCGGCGTTACCATGCCAACAATAAAGTAGCAACCTTAACAACGGGTATTTTTGAACTTCCCCCTCAATATCTAACTGCATGCAAAATTTGAATGGAGGTGAAAAATTTTCATTTCCCACTTTGCTTGACTGTTACAGAGAATAGCTCTTAATCTTCTCCATCCTCAACCATCCTTGTTCCTGTTTGGTTTATTATTACCTCTTTGGTGTTTTTCTACCTTAGTAAACTATTATTTTCAACCTTTCTTTAATTTGAAGGTGATTTTCCACTTTGCAGAAATGACTTAAAATATCGTGACATAGCTCCTTTAATGCTGGTCTTCATCGGTTTATTGGTGATCTTCATCGGACCGTGATTGGGTCGACTGGTTGTGCATCACTATTTTTAGCACTGTGTGTGGCTGTTGGTGATTGGGGGATTTCGATCCTAATTGTTACAACCAGAAACTGTTCTCTCGTAGGTCCGCTGTGGTACCGATCGGCTGTTGTGTTATTTGATCGTGGGCTTCCACGCTTCAGGAATTTCAATTCCACTATCCCTGTTCATGTACTGAATTACAAATCTAAAACATACACGGAGGAATGGATGTTTGAACTGTTGTTACCTATCATTTTCTAAGGCTTTTGTAAAGTGAAGACATGATCTTCGCAGTTGTGTTTACAATTCATTGTGCGAATCATAAAAGCGTGAACACTTTGATTTAACTTTGAAATGATCAAACCGCTAGAAGAATAGACAGGAAATTCAAATTTACAATTTGTTTTTGCAGAAAAGCTTTGCGAAAATAGCAATAAAATAAATACAGGAAAATAATAGACCAATTTTGCAAAGGAAATTCCAAACTTAAATCAAAGTGTTCACGCTTTTCTGATACGCAGTGCACAGTAGCAATAGGCCATTTCCGAGTTGCCTTTTGCCTCTGTTTCAAACGAGTCCTGGTGCAAAACCTTTGTTATGGAAATGAGTTTTGATTTACATGACAATAAACGTGCAGGTAAAACTCATTTCCATAACAAAGGTTGTGCGCCAGGACTCGTTTTGAAACAGAGGCAAAAGGCAACTCGGAAATGGCCAATTGCAAAGAAGCCTGTAAAAAATTCTGGGCTTCAATGGGATTTGAACCCATGACCTCCGCGTTACCGGTGCAATGCTCTACCAACTGAGCTATGAAGCCACCTGAGCTATGAAGCCACACATCAGGCGCAAGGTCAATTGAATGTGAGTTCATATGTTCCCGTGAAAGGAATAAAATGATAAGTGATTAATATGAATGAATCATATATGAATTGCGCTTTTGTCAAAGCCTAAACTTTGTGACTTTTTTTCTTTGTTTTCCAGGTTCGCTGAACACATGCATGACGTTCATGGTCAGTGAATGATGGATGTGATCTCACCACGTCACGTAGAATATAAGGAGATGGTACATGTGTCTTCCCTGGGCGTAAATAGAAGACCATACCACACACATGGACTAAAATATGTGGGTTACCACAAGGGTATTGCCCCGTAAAAGGGACATAGAGTTCGGTTAGATTCGTTTATGCAGTCGGTGGAGGAAGAACTGTTTAGGGGACCGCAATGCGTGCAGAATTGGGTCAAGAGATTCGTCGTCTTGTTGTTCATTGAGAAAGTAGCCTCGTACGCAGACTTTCTTTGGGCTCGTCACGCGCTCCTCGCTCAAAGAAAGTCTGCGTAGGAGGCTAATGAGAAAGGTCATTCTCCAGAACTGTCACATCTACTTGCCGCACTACTCAACAACTTCGCTGACCAAGAAAATGAAAAAGATCGACTCTACTTGCTCCGATAAAATCAGGAAGAGGCATGATTTTGTCGTCACTACTTTCGGCTAAGCCGACGTCTTCGCCGGGGAAGAATGTTTGCTATGCAACTTGACGTATTCTGATGACAGCAAGATGACGTAACTTTCGGAGTGCTCGCGCTATTTCTGATTGGACAACAAGACTAGGAAACTCTTCTGGTGCTTCAACGAAGATTTGGCGAACACTGCGCTTGTCTTGCCGACTGTTGTTGCAACAACGAAAGTTCGAGTGCAAGCGAGTGGTTGGTAAATAATAGGGAATTATCAATTGAAATGAATAGCCGTTTAAAATCAGTAGTGGGGTTCTACTGTATTGGATTTGGAACAACACACATTCAAATTGAACGTTTGGTTCTTTTTCGTTTTAATCCTTTCACTCCCAAAGTCAACTTTAGTCAATAAATGTAGTTGTAACTTTTAGGTGTGTGGATGAAACCCTAGTGTGTGACTATTCAAATGAGGAGTTCTATCAAATGGTGCTGTTTGTTTTTGACAATTTTGCAAAATGAAATTAATATTTTTTACTGAATTTTCAACTTAGCACTCTTGGGAGTGAAAGGGTGGAGCTTTTCAAGGAATAGTGTTCTATCACGTTAAAACAAAGGATATCGTAACCGTAATATGTAACGGAGGTTTGGATACCTGGTCTTATTTTTTATGATTCTATTTCTCCGTTTACTCCTTAGTTTTTGTTTCGATTGAGAAGATATATCAAACACTCGGTTTCATCCGATTTTCGGTCAAAAATACTCCGCTACGCGTCGTATTTTCAACTCTCTTCTCGGTGTTTGAAAATCGGATGAAACACTGTCTCTCGTGTTTGATATATTAGTTACAAGCCCATGTATGTTTAGTTTTGGAGTATACGGTCAAATAGTATACAATGGAACTTCCTTAAAATGGACACTGAAGGGACAGACCCCCCAACCCGTTATATGTAAGTCTTATTTTATGCAAATTGTTAGTGATTAATAATTATTCCCGAAACAAGTAAACTGCCCGTGAAAGTAGTGTTTCTATGAAACACGCTGTTCTTTTTCAGAACTGTACAGTGCATGGTAATATTAGAATTGTGGTATATAATAATGATTGTAAAGAGAATACATTGTAAATAAATTTCTGCTACTCTCTTGAATCTGGTCTTATTTCTTTACTAAGAAGGGAGGCGCTGTTGCCTAACGGTTAGCGCGTTGGACTGTGGATTGAGCGGTCCGGGTTCGATCCCTGGCCGGGGTCATTGTGTTGTGTTCTTGGGCAAGACACTTTACTTCCACAGTGCCTCTCTCCACCCAGGAGTATTAAAATGGTACCGGCGAATTATCTGGGCACCCTGACAAAAATGCTGGGGGGCTACGCGCGATGGACTAGCATCCCAGGCCATCCGGGGAGTAGCGATACTCCTAGTCACTTCATGCTATGGAAACCGGAGTTACGCGCCGGCCTGATAAGCCACTAGGCTTGTAGACAGACTTCAAGAAGCGATGGGGAGGAACCGTTTTCTCCTTGCCGGTTCATTTTCACGGTTTCACCGTTCGCGCGTGAGACCCTGTTGGCAGGCTACATTTTGTTCTACTAGTCGTCATTTTAACTAGCCCGAAAGAAAAATAAAGAGCGCAGTAATAAACGTTGCTGCTCTATCTGAAGTGAACTATAGGCGGAGGGGATTTTGTAGATTGTCACACAACACCACACTCAGACAGCGTGACACCATGCCAGTAGACGAAAGCCTGGATCGAGAACATGAAAACGAGGTTTCTAGCTGATTTTAAACATGGCCGCGGAACAATGTGGAATATTTTGCGATTTCTTTACTGAGATGCTGGCATTTTCTCTTGGAACAACTCAGTATAAGGTCAATGAAAAATCTCTGATTGATCTTCAAGTGGCGTGGAGGGTAAATCAGATTGATCAATCTTTCCAATTGACAGTTCAGCTGCAGTTCTCCAAAAATTATGTTAGCTCATGTTCTGCATGTTCAAACTGCTGGACTTGGCAAATTCAACGCAGCGATTTAAGCTTATTGCACAGAAGATTTAATATACTAAAGGTAAGTGCGAACCTTTACAGTGTTATTTTCTTCAGGGTCGAAAACAAATCGATAAGTGAGGAAGAGATACAAATGTTACATCGATCTCTTGTAAACAAACAACTCTCGTGGTCGCCACAAACCACGTGCTTGTGATTATAAATCATGGACCTCTGTAACTTTTAAAATACCGTATGTCAGTCTTTCTCCATATGTACATCATAGATATAAACATGCAGTGTAGTCTCATTGCATTTCTTTCGCTCAGAAACAGAGAGTGTACGAATAATTTTCTTTACCTGCGAGCTATTTGAAGGTGAAAAATGTTTACGCCGCGGCAATCAAGCTCTCGGGAAGTCAGCCGGCTGTTCCTACACGAACAATGAAACTATCAGTATTCCCGTGCCCGATAATGCACTGGAGTGGTGTGTTCATTATAACTTCATTGACACAGAATATCGCTTACAGAATAGAGTGACCTACGTCTTTAAGTGACGTCATGCAATAGTCCAATACCCTGGGTACCAGAGGTTTGTTTTCTCGCTCGCGTTTCGTCGGGTTTGGCCGGAGGCCGATCGCGACGGTCAACGCTGCGAGAGAAAAACAAACAATACAGAACACCGGAACCGGAAACCTCGCAAGAAAAGTCTCTGGCACCCAGGGTAGTTGGCGTATTAGATGGCAAATAAATAATATTTGTTTTAGTTTGGTCTTAAAGGCGAGACTAAATTAACCAAAACAACGATTACAGTTGCAAAACTTAACTTTACAATGCAAGTCAAGATGTAAGCTCATACAGAGGTTTTAAAATTGTTTTAAAACACGAGAGAATAAATTAGTCTTCAGTCTTCCTGTAACATCCTAGCGAACATTCCTTTATCGCCTTCACCTGAATATATAAAACAAGAAGAAAAAAAATTAGCAGAGAATTCAAGTCACCAAATGCCGGATGTACTTTTAACTTCAGCATCTATAACTAAATCCTTACCCATTTAGAATAATGCACATTACATTGTACAGAGCGTACAGATTACATTTATATGCCGCGTCCTTGTAAATCAAACGAATAGGAGCTACTCTTTAATGGTTGTTGGAAATACAAAGAGCAGGTCGAAAGAGGTAGTTGGTGAAATTTTTTACAGATGGTACTGTAAACTCGTACTGGTGCGGCGAGATTAACATCCAAAGATGATTTTAGAGGGCTTGTGCATGCTGCTGGATTGCAATGCAAGTCTTGCTATCCAGCTGTATGTGCAACTGAATCTGGGACGCAAACATTTATTTTGTGTTTTAAAATCTGTTGTATTAAACTTCATCACTGATGTACACCGTACCATTGCCATTCGACAAGGTTTTTGTTTGATTTTTGACATCTGTTTGACAACGTTCTGATAGATTACGTTTGATCTTTGATTAGCCTGCGTGCAGACATATCCTCAGATTTCCTTGCTTAACACATGGAAAGGAGACCTCTGCACGCAGACGTTGATCGCAGACGTTGATCTAACCAAATAAAATCTAAGAGGTGTGGGTTGTACAGCCTCTGTACGGTGTGCATAACAATAAAAATCAGGGAAGCCATAAAGTGCTAGCACCTTTTCTTTTGATTGGCAAAGTCACGTGGCATATTAAGCTTGGCGTTAGATATCTATGCGCGAGGTTGGCGTCAGATTTATAAAAGCATTACATTAAATCCCATATTGCTTATGCATCTCTATAAGCAAAACTCGCACTGTTGTATTATGGTATAGTTGCTTTTCTTGAAACCAGTCGAACCTGTCTTCACTGCAAAATCCGCACGTCAATCTGCAATTTTCTTTCATAAATCGCTTCCACGTTGCGCCTGCATTTTCACAGCGGTTTCTCGCTCTCCAGACTGAACACACCCAAGTAAACGTCATGTCTCTACACTGATCGGCTCCTTGTTTTAGCATGCAACATGAAATCAATGAAATAACAATAAGAGAGGCTTTGCACAGATAACAATAAAAGGTGATTACGAAAGCCGTTAGTTACATGTAGGTCGTCTGCATGATGACTCTATGGATCGTTTTCACTTGATATTTTTACTTGCATAAAAAACATTAACAAACTCGGAGATTATAGAGTAGAAGGAAATAAATAAATTGTCCAAACTTCGTCAGAACTATCGGGGAACAAGTGCCAGTTTTGGCAAAATCTTCGTGGAAGCACTCGAAGTGTTTCGGAATCTTTTTATCCAATCAGAAACTAGAGCGAGCACTCACGAGTACTCCGAAAGTAATCGCGCCAGCAAATACGTCTTGTTGCTTAGAAACTGTGGGCACGAACACCGCGGGCTCAGTCCCGTCTCGCCATGAACTGGTACTTGTTCCCCCGACGGCATAGTGGAACTGCAGAATTGAGAATTGATTTCAGACACGAATGCAGCATACTTACCGCAGAAGCCACATGTGCGCGCGCAGTTTTTCAGCAGATAGTCCTTCCACCCATCCAGTGAGCAGTACCCAGTGCTCTTGCGGCGTTCGCACAGCAGTTGCGGTGCAACATCGTAACAATCATCTAAACGAAGAAAAGAAAAGTTGGTTTTGGTTTCGCATCTCATCAGTTAAAAAAACTTGCGTCACCTGGTTAACCCTTTCATTCCCAAGATTGCTAAGTTCAAAACTGAGGGAAAATCTTGAATTTCGTTTTGCAAAATTGTCAAAAACAAACAGCACCACTTGAAAGTACTGCGCAATAGCTTTAATTTGAATGGTCACACACTAGGGTTTCATCCACAGACTCAAAAGGTACAACCACATTTATTGACTCAAGGTTTGATTCTGGGCGTGAAAGGGTTAACCAATGAGATACAAAACCAAAACCAATCACGACTTGGTCACACGCGTTTGGAACTGGTTACGTGCATTTGCTTCGAGCTCTCATTGGTTCGTTCTGTTCTTTACGTTTGTTGTGATTGACCATTGTAAATGCTTTGGTTTTTGGTTTTATGGACACACGTAATCTGGGGGGGGGGGGGGGGGGGAGGGACGCACGCTAACATCCCCCATCTAATTGCAGAATGAGTTTTTAAAACGGTTAATATAGAGATGTACTCACTTCCACAAGTTCCCGAGTCGTCGTTGCAAGGATGAGGGGCCTCTGAAAATGAAACAAGTACACTTGATACATGTAATGACAGTTACGGGCCAACTGGGGCAGCGGGGGTACGAGAAATTCCCTTTTGGTATTAGCGAGGAGCAAGATGGAAATGCAACTTAAGAAATAGTAAATGATAACTGCGTTTCCAATTGACCAGCTCCCAGTGTCTTCACATAGCTCAGTGGTAGAGCGTTTGCACCGGAATCGCAAAGGGCATGGGTTCGGTTTCAGGCTTTCTTTTCAATTGCTTAAAGGAGCTATATCCCCGATTTATTTTCTGTAATACGACTAGATATTCATAAAAATTACAAGGATTAGTTGTTCGTACTTTTGCAATAACCACAGGTCTCTGGGCAGTTTGCCTTCATAAACTTGTGGTTGTTTCGTGTGAAGCACTGGTCCTTCCACCCCGAGCAAAAACTTCGCGACCTGGTGTTTTCGCACGCTGAAAAAAAAAAAAATCATAAAAACGTAAGATTGATTAAAATGGCTTTATCAAAAAGAAGTCGGTGATGTTGTGACCGTGTTTTAGTTGTCAGCAGTTGTTTCTACGTGAATCATGCGCAACGCACGCAGACAAACTTTTCAAACAGCAAAATTACAAATTATTTAGTTCATCGTTCATAATCTGCCTCAGTCTTTCCCAATTAATCTTAATCATGTTTATTTGTTTTTGCTTTATTATTACCTCTTTAGTGTTTCCTACTTTGGTAAACTGTTGTTTTGTGCGGTTTTCAGTTGAGTGTCGTAAAACCAAAACTAAAGCAATTTCAATGGCCAATCACACCAAACATAAACAACGAAACAAACCAATGAGAACTCGAAGCAGATACACGTAACCGGCGCTAAGCGCGGGAAAATGCGATTGGCTTTAGTTTTGCATCTGATTGGTTGAGTAGGTGGTGCGAATTTTTTTAAACCAATCACAGAGTGTAGAAACAAAATCGAAGCGATTCCGGATTGTTTTCGACACTCAATTGAAAAACAGTTCCAACAGGGAAATTTGTAAATAAATAACTTTGAAAATACAGGTAGCTAGATCGTATAGTATTTGCTAGTATAAATTAGTTACCAGGGCATCCCTGTCC